TATAATGTGGAGTGAAAATTAACTTTATTATCCAATTAAATTTCAATTCAGTAAATATTTATTGAGTTCCTGGTATGTGTCAATGACTTCTAAATACTAAAAATGTCAAAATGAACTAGATACAATGCTTTTGGCCTAGAATAAGGATATACACTCAAACAGTTAATCTGGGATCTGATCATTGCTAGGCTTAAGTAGAAGTGCATCTTCCTCTCTATGGGGAGAGATGGGAAAAGGACAACCCCCTTCTAACTTCTCTCTCAGCAAATCCTCCTCCACCATACATACATGGGATGTGGGGGTACCTGGAATTACTGTATTATACTCAGCCTTTGGTGTGGCTCCTGAAACTCAGAGACAACAGAAAATGTTGCATTTAACAGCCTGTTACAATATTTGTTAAAGTGTTTTAGAAACTCAAAGGTGTTATGCAAGTGTTGTAACGTAACAACATATCCAAATTAGGAGTAGTGGGACCAGCCATCTTGTCACTTAGAAACCTGAAGACTAGATAAGTCTTCCCCTGGATAGAATTAGAGGTTACTGAATCTAGGAAATAGAGTGGAATCAATCTGCAAATAATTAGTCTTTAAAAATATTTAAAATTAGGAATAAGTCTATTTATCTAAATTTTTAGACTTAAAAAGGATTCAACTTTTCATTAAATGAAAGAAATAGAGGGTTAGAACCTGGCAATTGTATTTTATATTAAGAAAATTATTGAGATATCAACTCAAGTCGCTGGTTCCCTCTGAGTTTATGGGAATTATTCCCCCATGAAGTGGTGGGTGGAGGAGGCAAAGGCACGGAAGGATGCTGAAGAGGCGGACAGGTCCTTTCCTGTCAATCAAGAACATGGGTGCAAAGCACTGCTGACATCAGTCTGTTGGTTTCACATCACTGGCGGCACTTTTCAAACACCAGTCTGTTCTCCTGGTGCTGGGGTAGGAGGTGGTGATAAAGGGGATGGTCGCAGCTAGAGGTCCCTTTCCTCAAAGCAAACAGGCAAACAAACACCACTACAACTCCCAAGAGCCAGAAACTTTTCCTTTAGTTAGAATTCCTGGATTTTTATTAAACATGTGAGATCTTCTGTTTTATTTGCCTTCAGTCGTGGAAAGCTTATGTCTTCATCCTTTGAACACTTAGGACGTGGCAAATCTTGGGGGGTTGCCATCTCCCCCCATTTCCTGCTCAGAACCTCATCAGGTGGGCTAGTGAGAGGAACACATAGCTGTTCCCTGGCGATAAAGAGGAGAGGGGATGATGTCTTTGATTTTATTTTACTTTCTTTGGTATGTGTGGGACATGGTGCCAAGATCTTACCTTTTTTACTGTATTTCTTTAGTTTCATGAAAAGTAATTTAATTAGGTTCTAAAATGAGTCCTAACTGATGTTTTTACTTGGGGGTGGAAGGAGTTAATTTTTGTTGTTTCCTGTATCTGGGCAGTGAGTGTCCTGGGGGTGGGGGCTTTGGGTCTTGTCCCTTTCCCCTGCCCAGGGCTTGCCACTTAGCAGTTACTCTGTACATACATGTTCAGTGAGCAAGAGGGTGTGGGAATACCCAAAGTGCAGGCGCGGCCCTGCTGACTGAAGAGAGAGGCAGGCAGCAAAATGGGTATTCTTCACCCAGTTCATTCCCAGGAGGATTTTATGTAGGTTAATCTTTTTGCATATGAAATCTTTTCCCATATATAACATTGATGTAGCTTATGCCCTTCCAAGACTGCAGTGACTCCCATCCTCAAGCCACTTGTCAATGATTGACAGTCATAGTCCTAGCTGGAGCTGGCTGCCCCCATAGCCTATAGGAGACCCAGGGCTCGCCTTTGGCAATGACTGTTCGTTTATGAAGAGGGTGGCCCGATAACCAACACACGTTATCTGAGGGGAGCCTTGATCAGACACGGGGAGGCACTGAGGGGCTTTTACGTTACTATAATTTTGGATATGAGGATTTATTTTATTATTTTTTAATAACAGTTTTATTGTGATATAATTCACATACTATACAATTCACCCATTTAAAGTATGCAGTTGAATGATTTTTAGTGTATTCATAGACTTATGGACCATCATTGCAACCAATTTTAGAACATTTTCATCAACCCAAAAGAAGCCTTAGCCATCACTCCCCAATCTCTGTCCCACCCTCACTCCTAGAAAACCACTAACCTACTTTCTTTCTGTATAGATTTGCCTACCCTGGGCGGTTCATGTAAATGGAATCATACAAAATGTGGTCCTTTGTTATTAGCTTCTTTCACTTAATGTAGTGTTTTCAAGGTTCACCCATGTTGTAGCATGAATCAGTTCTTCATTCCTTTTTATCGCTGAATAATATTCCATTGTATGGTTATACCACATTTTATTTATTAGTTGATGGACATTCAGTTTGTTTCCACTTTTAGGCTATTACAAGTAATGTTGCCATGAACATTTGCATACTAGCTGAGGATTTATTTTTATATTTTCAGTCTTTGTCATTTTGGACTGACACATGTACAGGTACACAATTTTGACTCCTTTTAGAATCCAAAGACACAAAATTTGTTTACAGCAGTAGAAATCCATGGAGCACATGTCATGTAGCAGAACAGACTAAAGGGTAGTTAAAAGATAGCACTTGTTAATGCAGCTGGGGTCAATTTTAGGGAAAGTAAGCTTAAAATAATTTTCTCCATACTTGCATTTGATTGATAATTTTCTGTGTGTACCTAAAATATGCATTAACATGCATATTTATCAATTCAATTATGATAATGTGATTGGCTAAAAAAATGCAAAAATCTTGGGGCCGGCCAGGTGGCATAGTGGTTAAGTTTGACATGCTCCCCTTCAGTGGCCCAGGTTGATGGGTTCAGATCCCAGGCGTGGACCTATACCGCTCATCAAGCCATGCTGTGGCGGTGTCCCACATACAAAATAGAGGAAGATTGGTACAGATGTTAGCTCAGGGCCAATCTTCCTCACACACACACAAAAAAAGTGCAACAATCTGAACCTGTGTGAATTCAGTCTAATTCTTCCATTTGTGAGTATTTACTCCACATCAGTCATTGTGCTAGGTGATGAGGATATAATGACAAACAGGCAGGGTCTGTGCTCTCATAGCACTATGTCCAATCTCTCTGAGGGTGGCCATGGGGTGTGTAGAAGGACATCCAGGATGTGGGACAACATGGTGCCCTCTGCTGGGGGTGCACAGGGCACTGTTGGAGCTTCAGAGGAGAACCCAAACCAGACTTAAGGTGGGATGGTAGGTAGATCAGGGAAGCTTCCAGAAGGAAGTTCATAACCGGACTGGGATCTAAAGGAGGAAAGCATATAGATAAGCAAGAGAAGGGAGCGTGGGGAGGAGGAGAAGGAAGAGGAGAGGGAGGTTGAGTTCCTGAGCAGAAAGTTCAGCATGGTCAGTGCATCTCCTGTTCAAGGAGTTGACAGTAGAGTTCAAGGTGAGGTGTGATGGGAACTGAGGATGAAAAGAACAGAGAGCGGCCTGGTACCCTTGATAGCTGCACCAGGTGGTTTGGACTCTGCCCCAAGAGCTGGGAGGTCATTAGGGAGAGCTGTGTGAGTAGATCTGCATTTTGGCCGCTCAAATGGGGCACGCTGGGTCCAGGGGGAGGGCTTGTTTCCTCTGCAGTAGGAGGGCAGGTCAACTGCTGTGGGGTTCAGTGGGAGGTTTGTTTGAGGACAATGATTCAGGAGATTCAGGAAGAGTCACTGGAGAACGAGGTGAACAGGTGGGTTAGAGAAGCAGTTCTGGGCTATTGTAAAAGCTGAATATTTTAAATCTGCCTCATCAGACAGTACAGAGAGAAGTGCTCCCAGGACATGGCAAAGCACCTCACTTGCATAATTGTGGTTCAATCTGACCCTTGCCTTAATTGAACTGTGTTGAACTTAGGTAACCTGAGTTGCCTGAATTGAACTGAAAATGTCAATAAAAATAGAGAACAAAAATTGCCAAAACAGATTCTGTAGATGATGGAGTGCCAGCCATTCTTTATTCTCATTAGAGTCAAAAGTTGGCAGCTCCCCTGTTGATTTCACAAATTTGCTGTTTATTCTTATTTTGAAATCAAAAGCCTGCAGGAGAAGCTAATTATTTCCCTGCTTCCAGGAATCAAGGAGTTGGAGTTGGTGGTGGGGGTGGGGGCAGGGAGAGTTACCTGAGCTGTTATTTTGAAACCATTGGGAGGCCACAGTATCTCAGAGCCTAGAGTCAGAGGGGAATTAAACACAGGGCAGGGCAGGATGGGGGAAGCAACCTACCTCATGAGGGGTCGTGGAGACATCAGGAGACATGTACCTGTCAGCTTTGCTCAATGAGGAGTGGGGGCTGGAGGAGCTAGGTGACTGGTCTGTGGTTAGAAAGCTAGAGATTGTGGATATAAAGTAGGTCTGTCTGACTCCAGATTGGTGGTGTTCCTGCCCCAGCAGGTGCCACCAGAGGTGGGATGCTGAGGGCCTGAACAGAGGTGGCAGTGGGCTTGCCGTGACTGCACATGGCACACATGAGGGGGTGGGCAGGGGAGACACTGCATAGCAGTGGTTAGTTTGTTTATTAAATTCTCCTTGGATGAGAAACCCTCCTAAGAGCTAAGAGTAGATTAATCTCATTTTCTCACCATCTCTATATGTGTATTTGTTGCTGCAGCTGAGATGCACCGCGTAATGATTTGAAAACTAGATACGTTTACTGCTACGGCAAGGCCACAGTTCTGGGCCAGGCAGCACTTGGAGAGGCCTCTAGTCTGCCCGCATTCAGCCGTGCTCTCTCTTCCAGCTCAGCAGTGGGGCTGGCTCTCAGTGGGAGGACACCATGGGCAGGTGAAGCTGCGCTTTTAAGATGTCACCACACACGTAGATGTCAGAACCTCCCAGATGGATCTGGGCTCCTTTCTGGAGGATGTAGGCATGCTTTATGGCTGCACACACCACTTCCGTTTCCTTTTCTCAGATCAATGACTCGTGGCTTCTCTTCTTTGGCCAGGTGTGTACCCTTTAGCTGCAGCCCCTCAGGAGGCTGAGAGCAGCCGGAAGCTGACTCACATCCTGAATGCGGTGACCGACGCTCTGGTCTGGGTGATCGCCAGGAGCGGCCTCCCCTCCCAGCAGCAATCCCTTCGCCTGGCTAACCTGCTGATGCTCCTTTCTCACGTCAGGCACGCCAGGTACCATCCCTGCGGGGCCACTCCACCTCGTGTGTGTGGGGCACGTGCTCAGAGGTGGGCGAAGAGCTTTGGGAAAAGGGTGTGCAAGTTTGAGACGGATAAGGTCGAGCTGTCACCTTTAAAGGAAAATGAACCCCTGAAAGGAAATGGGGGCTTCATCCTGTAACCAAGATCCGCACAAAGTGGGCACTGAATGGATGTCACGTGGCGCCTCATAGGCTATTGATGGCATCTCTCATCTGTTTCTTAGTTGCTGTAGGTTTTAGCTTGTTTATGGAATTCTAAAAGGGACAATTTCTCCCCTAAAGTGAACTGCCACCCCTCCCTACACCACCTTCGGCTGCGGCCCTGAGCTCATTTTCCTGAAGAGGCTAAACCCAGCTTCTCTAGATCAACTCGTGAGGCTGATGATTTGGGGACGTACACAAAGCCTTCCCTGATAGTTCTTGTCTCGCAATAGCATCAGGATGTTAAGAATGAGACCTAAGAGAATGGGTGAGCCCAACAGGTTTAGGAAGGCAGGACCGTGGGTAACGTATCCAGGAAATGTAAAGGGTGTGCTGATGAAGGGGGGCGTGTCCACAATGATGCTCAGTGCTTGGTGGCACCCTGGATGAGGGTAGCCCTGCCCTGGGGCTGGAAGAAGAGCCAAGGATGGAAGGTAACTGCTCACCTGAGGACGAGGAAAGTCTCGGGGCTGTGGGGAAGGACAACATACACCTCAAGAATTTTCACAAGGGAAGGAAATGAAAACGACTTCTGCCTCCATTTCCTCTTCAATGATTATTCACACAACCATCTGCAGAGCAGATACAGTCCATCCTTATTATTTGTGGATTCCATATTTGCAAATTTGCCTGCTTGCTAAAATTTATTTGTAACCCCAAAATCAGTACTCATGGCGTTTTTACGGTCATTCCAGGACGTGCACAGAGTGCTAAAATATTTGAGTCACCCACGCTTACATTCCCAGCTGGGGTCAAACAAGGTGACACTCGCCCTCTTGTTTCAGCTCTCATACTGTAAACAAATGTCCTTTTTGTGGTCTATTAAGTGCCATGTTTTTGCATTTTTGTGCTTTTTGTTGGATATTTCACTGTCTAAAAATGGCCCACAGGCATAGTGCTGAAGCACTGTCCAGTGTTCCTAAACGCAGGAAGGCTGTGATGTGCCTGTGTGGAAAATATGCGTTAGATAAGCTTCATTCAGGCATGAGCGATAGTGCTATAGGCCGTAAATTCAATGTTAATGAATCAACAATTTATGTTAAATAAGGTGTCTTTAAACAAAAACACAGATAAAACAAGGTTGTGTATGAATCGGCTGATGAAAACGCTGTGACCAGAGGCTTTCAGAAGCTAACCGTTCCCCCCAGGAGCGGTGGTTCTGTATTCGCTAATTCAGGGTGTGTGGTGACTGTATAGAACATAGCTACCATGAACAACGAGAATCGATTGCACTGTGGGCCAGGCGCTATCAGGCCACTGTGGGTGGGCAGTGGGACAGAAAGGTCCACAGGACACTTGTCCTTGCTCTTAAGCGTAGATTATGCAAGGAAGGAGCCAGATGCAAGAACCATAGAACAAAGGGCTGGGGGAAGTGCGGGGGAGGGGGGTGGACTGCTCTGTTGGGCAAAGTTGGGGGAGATTTCGGAGTTCCCACGCTGCCTCACAAGAAGAATCTCAGCACGTTTTTGTCCCCATAGTAACAAGGGCATGGAACACCTGCTGAGCATGAAGTGCAGAAATGTGGTCCCAGTGTACGACCTGCTGCTGGAGATGCTGAATGCCCACACGCTTCGCGGGTACAAGTCCTTGGTCAGAGGGTCCGAGTGCAGCCCAGCAGAGGAGAGTGAGAGCAAAGAGGGCTCGCAGAACCCACAGTCCCACTGAAGCCCAGCCCTGAGTGAACAGGCCGCAGAGGAGGTCAGAGGCTGAAGCGTGAACTCCAGTGCGAACCAAGAGCCCTGTCGGGAGTGGGCAGGCTTTGTTGTCTTCCTACAACATGTGTGGTAGGAATGTGTGGTCCCTCATTTGCTGATGGCAAACTTGTCATGTACCATCCTTCCCCCAACCTTCCCACTTCCTGGGAGTCAGGGTAAGAAAAGCCACGGTTTTGCTTGTTACCAGGGGGCATGTTTGAATGCAGAGTTTGTCTTGCTTGGCCTTGTAGGATCTCAGCATGGTCCCATTCTTACTTTCCATCTCCCTTCCACCCCTTTGGAAAACATCTTAAAGGTTTTGGAAAGAATGGTGGAAATCTGACTTGGAAGGGCTTTACAACAGGAAGGGGAGAGAATGTGGCACCCTGACAGGAAGTGGACTAACCTTTGGTGTGCAACCTGAGCTGCCCTTAGAATGGATCTTTGTACGTTCTCTTCTGGACCACTTGATTGTAGGATTGAAAACTGTGATGACAATCAATTAACTAGTTTCACATACCTACCTCGAAGGCCTGTGGGGACTGATGTCACGTGTTGCTATTACTCTGTCGAAGGCCAGAGGGCAAGTGACCTGGGGAGCCAGCGGTCAAGCTGGGATGCAAGCCACCATCTTCCCCCAAGACCTTGCTGCCGTCTTAATTTGCATCCAGAGAGCCTGCAAATTATTTGGGGGGTATGTGTCTGCGTGATCACTTTCATGGAGGAGTGTGATTTAACTCTCCTGCCCCTGGAATTGTCCTTCTTTAAAACTCTCTTGCCCCAAGGGACCTGGCATGTGCTTGAGAAAGGTCCAGTGTTTGCAGGAATGGGATTCTCTCCTGTGGGAGTGGGTCACAGCCACCACACTTCCCTGCGGCAGCCACAACTGCCACATCAGCCATCCAGGGGAGACAGGGACACTTTAGGCTGTGTGTGTGCAAGGCACACTATTCCGCGGAAGGGTGAATAGCTACACACATGCCAGCATGTCAGTCAGGTTCAGGGCCAAATTGTGTAGACTTGATGAGCACATCACTTGAACAAGACCTGGTTTGTGAACTCTACTTAAAAAAGAGAAATATTGAGGGGCAATTATTTATAGTAAGAAAGAATTCTTTTATACCCTAGAGTTCTTTTAAAATATTTTCTTACCAGAACATTTATATGGTGGGCTGGGTGAAACAGAAACTTAGATATTCTTATTCCAAATGGAACATGAATAGGACATGATGATAAAGCACCTCTGAAATTACAATCTTAACACACTTTTTAAAAATTGAAGTTCTTGTACAAATTTTCAGGAACATAGTAAATGTATAAAATGAGTTACATCTATACTTTGGAAATGAGCAACTAAATAATCATTTTTGATTTTTGTGATAATGTTTAAAAAATTACCTCGTGATAAGAGATTAAAACGTTTTCTTTTTGAAAATAGGTTTACTTTGGCTAGCACATTCTGTATTTACTAAGTTATTAGGAAGATTAAATTGGATGGGATAAAGCTTGGTTTCTGCTAGTGAGACCTTGAATCATTCTTAATTTTGATACTGGTGCAGTGTTACTAAGTTGAACAAAGCTGTTTCAGAAACACTTGGGACATATACCTAGAGAACACACCATTGTCTGTGTTCTGAGGTGGTTTGAAATTATTCGTAGTGACTCAGTGTTTCAGCGTAGGTGGGATTCAGTACAGAAAACATGAGCTTGATTTCATAGGAACCAGGGAAACAGTGTCATCCAGAAGGTCAATTTTATTTCTTTCGGGCCATCTTAGAATCCCCCACCACAAAGAGAAAGAATGCCAGGCTAGAGAGTGGGAAGTGGGAGGCAAAGAATAATTATTCAAGGGAGGCCTTGAACAATCATTTGCTGATGAAATTCTATCAATTGTATTTATTAAAAAGACTACGGGGTTGGAAAAAACACAAAACAAAAAACGAAACCAGAATGAGGTCCAAGCCACTGCCACATCAGTATGCAGTGAAGTTTCTGTTCACTAAACATGATTGTGGATTTTGATGCCCAAAGTAGGCACCATATTGGACTCAGTGTCCAAGCTCCCTTCTATGCCAAATCCCGTGCTTACCCAGACGAGTGCATGCTCTTACGAAAGCACTAGTGCCCATTACTCATTTTTCAGATTTTCCTGCATGCTTTTTTTTTTTTAATTTTATTTATTTATTTTTCCCCCAAAGCCCCAGTAGATAGTTGTATGTCATAGCTGCACATCCTTCTAGTTGCTGTATGTGGGAGACGGCCTCAGCATGGCCGGAGAAGCGGTGCGTTGGTGTGCGCCCAGGATCCGAACCTGGGCCACCAGCAGCGGAGCGTGCGCACTTAACCGCTAAGCCACGGGGCCGGCCCCCTGCATGCTTCTTGAGGCAGCTTGTTTCACTACATTTGAATTCAGCCCATGAGGAGGATGTAACACTTTCGGTAATTTCTTCCTGGCTCAGGTCTCACCTGCCTGTGTGCTGGGGATACAGGTTAGTCCAACCTGAGGCCTCCTCGATGCAAGGCTATTTCTTCCACTAGGGTCTGGGCCAAGTAGGCAGTTGAGAGAACATGGTTTATAGTTTAAAGGGGTTCTTTGTTTTGTTTTGAATAGCCTAAGGTCCTTTCCCCCTTCAGATGAAGCGTTTAGAATCTCTGTGCCCCTCTGCCCCAAACACGTCCTCCAAGGATGACACCAGTGTGCAAAGTCAGGCTGCCATTTTTATGTGTTTTCAGTAAACCCTCAATGTCCATTTTAAAGATTAGCCATTTCTCTTTAATAGTGCTTTCTTTTAGATGTCTTCTTTTGGGAGGGTATCTCCCACTCCCAAAATGGTCCACAGGCAACTTCAAATTCTCCCATAGCTAAGCAAGGACAAATTCAGGTTTTTTGTGTTTTTGTTTTTTGTGAGGAAGATGAGCTTTGAGGTAACATCCGACACCAATCCTCCTCTTTTTGCTGAGGAAGATTGTCCCTGGGCTAACATCGGTGCCCATCTTCCTCTACTTTATATGGGACACCACCACAGCATGGCTTGACAAGCCATGTGTCGGTGCGCGCCCGGGATCCGAACCCGTGAACCCCGGGCTGCCAGAGTGAGGCACGCACTTAACCACTTCGCCACTGGGCGGACCCTAGGACAAATGCAGTTTTGAAAGGGAATTAACTAGGGAGAATAGGACCTGACAACTGTAAACAGGAAGTAAACTAAGTACTGGGGAAAAAAGCCCCACCTAACTACATTGTATGTATTATGGAAAAGTGATCCTCAGCTTTGCCTCAGACTCATGTGGCAAGATTCCTGTCCTCCATTTTGATTTGTAAGTGATCATTTAATAAGAGAAACTTATTTGTGGGAGATGAGTGAGATTTGGGCTTAATTCCAAACACGTGAGTGTCTAATCTGGGGTCATATAGACATATTTTTATTAAATAATTAACGTGGAATATTCTTAATACAGAGAACATTAGAACAGAGTGTTCCCTCAGGTTCCGGAGAGAGCAATGTCAATTCCTAAAGAGGACGTGTGAGGGCAATCCCGGGGGAGCGGCACGGGAGTTTCCACACAGTTGCTCTAACTGCACTTCCTTCCGCCCTCGCCGCATCCCCTGTCTGGCCTCAGGCCTGTCACACGCTCACTGTCCACCAGGGCTAACTAGAGGATTCAACCCTAAAATAATTCTGAAGAGATTTTTCTAGAAAAATTGAGGTAGGAGCAGAAGACTAAGTTGTCAGCCTAATAACAAATCTGGAGGGTCTTAACTGTATTAAAAACAAAACAAGTCAAAATCAATAAAAGCTCTACAGTGAGAGAGTTTTTCTGTGGATTACTTCACCTGCTAACTCAGCTGGAAGGGCAATTATTTAAGATTTCAGTAAGAAAAACAATCAGTTGCCAATTCTTGGCAGAGCTATGTTATATATTCATGTATATAAACTAAGTTGAAGCAATTCTAGAATTTTCTAGCATGTGAAAACAGAGTTTGGTTGTTATTTAAATCTGCTAAGGGGCTTGCATATATTGACACCTTTTCAAATTCAAGGTGAACCTGCAGTTTCTAGGTCTATTTAGAAACAAAACATTTTTATTTAATAAGATTTGACACATTTCTTTAAGCAGCTAAAAATCTTTAAAAAAACAATAAAGCTTATGTGAAAGAAATGATAAAAATACATTGTTGTTTAGTACCTAAAAATAATATTGTGGAACACTTACTGTGTGCCGGCATAGTTCTCAGTGCGTCATACATTCACATTTAATCCTCATGATAATTACTGTTGGCCTGTTTTTCTGGCTGTGGAAACTAGAGAGAATAAGCAACTCGCTCCAGGTCTCTCAGGGAGTAAGTGACAGACATGGGCAGTCCAAGTCCAGTGCTGAAAGTAATCATGCAGTTTTTAACTAGATAAAAAAAAAACAAACAACTAAGTGGGGCCAGCCCGGTGGTGTAGCAGTTTAAGTTCGCGCACTCCACTTCGGTGGCCCGGGGTTTGCAGGTTCAGACCCTGCACGCAGACCTACGCATCGCTGTGGCGGCGTCCCATATAAAGTGGAGGAAGACGGGCATGGATGTTAGCCCAGGGCCAGTCTTCCTCAGCAAAGAGGAGGATTGACAACAGATGTTAGCTCAGGGCTAATGTTTCTCACAAAAAAGAAAAGAAAAAGAAAACATTAAGGGAAAATATTTTTAGACTGCAGAATCTGTTCATCAAATGTAGTCTGACATGCATGGCTGCTGTGATCTAAGTGGGGCCTGCTGTGGCACCCTCCCCTCCCAATTTCCAGAACACTCCATAGACATAGAAGTTCAGGCCCATCTTTTATACACGTGTAAATTAAAGCCCAGAGGCGTAAACTGACTGCTCAAGGTCATAAAACTCCTCACGGCAAAGCTTGGCCTGGAACTCAAGTCTTCTGCCTGCCTAGCCAGCACCGTTCCTGCTGCAGGACTTGCTTGCGTAAGTCTGCTGCTGGAGCCGAATCCCCACACAATGGAGACAGTTATGGTTGCCTTACTGCACCTTTAGCTCCTTCCTTCTCAGCTTAGAGGGGGTCTGCATGAACCTTTACAGAACAGCAGCCACGACAGGTGGAAAAAGATAGGATAAATTCTATTATTCCTGCCCTCCCGTCCTGGGCTCATAGCTAGTGGGTAGTACTGCTGTCGCCTCCTCCTGTCTACTGTGGCTTCCCCAGATGCAGCAAAGTACACGCCACTAGAGAGGCATGTACTCCTTGGAAATTCACCCATGTACAATTCTCACACCTTTTAGGCACTGATGCTTCCCCATGGACTTTGGTACCCTGTAATGTGAAACACGTGCCATTTATTCTTTATAGCTCTCCGAGTTGCTGGAATCTTGGCTCCAGTGGCAGCTCTAAGATGTGCATTGTCTCTGCCATGTATGATCCTCTTATAACTCTTTTTGTTGCTTAGGAGTGAAGGATCTTTTTTTTTTTTTTTGAATTCCAAGGATCCTCTTCACTTGTGGGGCTAGTCACTGTTATGTGATGGTGGGTTTCCTGTACGGGAAAGGCAGAGGTTTGACGACGCTAGCCCAGACCAGCTCCCCTTGACTGCACAAGCTTTGTTGCTCATTTGCTTTTCTGTGTTGGGTGTCTAAATGCTGTGACTGTTGGTCGTATAACTTTATTATT